CTTAGATTATTTTTTTCTTTTTTAAATAATAATTTTTAAAATATTCATTTTATCTTAGGACAAAAATTTACCATATGAGATTGTTTCTCAAACAAAATTACTCCCTTTATAACCTTCTTTAATTAAAATACATCTTAATATCCATAATTTTCTTCACATCTCTCTCCCCTCCTTACTGGTTCCTTTATATTAATACCTTGTTTCATAAATAATCTTTTCAAGTCCATAATTTGAATCAACCTTTAGGTAACTTCCTTCCTTCCTTCCTTCCTTCCTTCCTTCCTTCCTTCCTTCCTTCCTTCCCTCCCTGCCTCCTCCCTCCCACAGCTCCTCGCTTCTTCCTTCCTTCTTCCTCTCTTCCTTCCCTCTTTTTCCCATATCCTTTCCTTGATCTTCTTTCTTTTTTTTTTTTCGAGGAGGGGTCTTGCACTGTCACCCAGAGGCGCTGGAGTGCATGGCCACGACTCTAGCTAACTCTGAATTCAACCTCCTGGGCTTAGAGCTGATCCATACACCACCTTCACCTCCTGAGTAGCTGGGAACTCAGTGCATGCCCACCACATCTGGATAATTTTGTTTAATTTTGTTTTATAGTAGCTGACAAGGTTCTGGCTGGTGTTACCGCAGGCGTGGTTTCAAACTCCTGAGCTCAAGCATCCATCCGCCTTGGCTTCCAAAGGCTGGGTTACAGGCTCGAGCTATCCGATGCCCTGGAGCCTATGTAACTTTTGAATTAGGCAAAAGTATTGTTTTTTCAATAAGGACACATCTTCTTTGGCACCTTATATACAGAACTGTCATTAACTACAAATCTTTTATCTCGAGTAACCTTAAATTTTAGTGAAAAGCTAGGAGACCCTGACGAAGTTCTAAGGATGCATAATTTCCCAGAGATAGTGAGATTTTATAGATAAAGGGTACATTCCACTTCCCCAATCATTATAACTCCTTTCTTAATGGACAATGGACCCAGACCATCCAAGAGCATCAAAAATGACTAACGATGGGGCCGGGGTGCGTGCTCACGCCGTGTAATCCAGCACTTTGGGAGGCCGAGGGGCGGCGCATATCACGAGGTTAGCGAGATCAAGACTCACGTTGGGGTGTGACCGGTGGACACCCAATCTCTCTAACAATCACAAAAAAAGATTAGGTGGGCATGGTGGTGGGTGCCTGTACTCCCACTTACTCGGGAGGCTGAGGCAGGAGAACTAACTTGAACCGGGGAGGCAGAGTTACAGTGAGCTGGTTGCACCATTGCACTACCGCCTGGGGCAACAGCGAGATCTGGTCTCAAAAAAACAAAAAACAAAAGGAAGAACAAAATGACTTAAGATTTTAAATTACATAAAGGTTCACTACAACCATTTATCTCATTTACATGTACTAAATTCTTGTTTGTCAAAAAAGTTACACAAGGATCATTTTGTTTTGGCTGGATTTATAGTTTTATAACCTTCTCTGCCAAACCTTGGAACTTCAAAATATGTAGCAGAGACAAATATAAAACCCGAATAAAAGGCCAGGCACAGTGGCTCACACCTGTAATCCAAACTCTTTGGGAGGAGGCCGAGGCAGGCAGTTCACCTGAGGTCAGGAGTTTAAGACCAGACTGACCAACATGGAGAAACTCTGTCTCTACTAAAAATACAAAATTAGCCAGGTGTGGTGGTGTATTCCTGTAATCCCAGCTACTCAGGTGGCTGAGGCAGGAGAATTGCTTGAACCCAGGAGGTGGAGGTTGCGGTGAAGTGAGATCACGCCATTGCACTCCAGCGTGGGCAACAAGTGCAAAACTCTGTCTCAAAAAAAAAAAAAAACCCGGATAAAAATATATGCTGACAATTTCAAAGACATTTGTATTTTTATCTTAACATAATGTTAAAGCCAGTTTGTTTATTAAAGATTTACTTAAGTCATCTGAACTTGAAAATTGTTTAGACTCCTGTACTTAATTTATGAGCACAGTTATTTATAAGCCAGTTTTGTAGGCACAACATACAACATAACGAATGTACAACATAAACACATCTAAACATATATATATATGCATACATACAAAGATCCAATAGCTTTTACCTTTAACTCTAGCCACGAGGTAGCAATACAAACTCATCAGTTAACAAACATGTTCACATGGCTAAACTTTGTTTGCCCTAATAGGTAATCCAGTGAAGGCTGTGAACCAAATTTTGGGGTAAAGCAGTTTCCATATGGGTTTGAGTTTTAAAGGCCAAACCTCCCCAGATGTCAAAGAACACTGGGGCCAAATGGCACTGCACAACAACATCACCTATTAACCAGGCTTAACCCTGCTTAGAACAGCAACATAAACTCCTGGATACAGGGAACTCCATCCCACTTTCCCATTCACATGTCAAATGAGGCCCATGGAGAGGTCAAACTTCTCTAGATTCCAAAGAATATCAGGGCCAAGAAGATGATCAGTGTATTCTGATTTCCCATGACTATATTGATACAAACAATTACCAAAACACAATCCAACTGCTGCAGCAACAAACAAGCCCCAACTGTGTCCCAACTGGAACAGCCGGGGTGCTTACTTTCTGTCAGGCCTGTTCAACCTGAAAATGGAATTCTTTTGGAATATCCCCAAATTGAGGGGAGCACATCCTGCTCTCTGGTGCCCACAAAAGATAGTCATCCACCCAGACACAAATGTCACATTTCAAAGTCTGTTCTTTCTGGGCAATCAGGAACACTGTTGGAGCTGGCAGTGGTGTGACCAAAGAGAGAGACCAAAATCTATCTCCAGCAAAAAAGGGTCAGGCAGCTGCTTGAGGGGGTAGGGGGTGCTTCTGAAATTCTTGGCCCATAGCAGCTGAGCCATGAGCAATGCATTCCCGGTCAGGGAACCAAAATCTGTTACTGAAACAGCAGGAGTTTGGTTGAGGTCCTGCTGCTTGCCACACAGAAAGCCAATCACTGAGACGAGTATTGCCAGGGAAGAAGGCTTTAATAGGGTGCTGCAACCAAGGAGATGGGAGATCAGTCTCAAATCCATCTACATACACAACCCACTAAAATTAGGGGTTTATATTGCTGGGAGGAAATGTAACCATGCGTGGGAAAACATGAATTAGGGAGAGTGAGGAAGAGGAGTTGGCCAGGAGGAAGCAGCTGGCAGATCAGGCAGTCATGAAGGGTGAGGCATTTGCAATCTCACTGTCCAGATGCTGTGATCTGGTGGGTCTCAGCTCCTTGATACTATCTGGGAGGTCTGAGGGTCAATTTCCTGAGAAAGGAGCTCAGATAAAACAAATTTAACTTTCCCAAGTTTCCCGATTGGGAGGGTCAATTTCACTGTTTATTCAAAGGAACCAAAAACATCAGTTATATGGGACAATCGAGCCAGCTTCAAGCACCTGTTAGAAATAGGTATAAAACAACTGTTCCATCCACAAGGACCAGATTTCCCTTAGACCTTTGAAGGTCCTGCCTCACTGTCTTCTGCCCTTCCGGAACTCGTGGGACCTGATGAGAAGTGGGATGCCCCCCTGACTCCTGTGTCTTTGTAAGGGTTAATTCTCTTCCTCCTCAAGTCACCTTAGCACTGGGTCAGAGCTGTGGGTCTGTGACGTTTTCTTGCATTATTTGTCTCGTATTTCTCTCCATTGTGCTCTCCCTACTGTCCTGGAGCTCCTACCTGAGAGATGTTAGAACTCCAGCTCTCTCTCTCATGTCCCCTGATGTTGTTTTGGAGTGTTTTCTATGTCTTTGTGCTTCTGCTGTTTTGGGGAATTTCCTCAGCTTAATCATTTCCCGATTCACCCCTCAGCTGGGTTGGTTTTGTTACTAGCTCAGTTGTTGCTGTTGCTGCTGCTGTTTTAGGGGTGACATGACACATAAGGAGGGTGTGGCCTCCAGCTGACTGTCGTGGGTGCACGGCCCCATGCGCCTCCTGGTGACCTGGGCTGCAGTTACAATGGAGCAGTGGGCTGCCCATTCTCCCCTTGCCTGCTTAGGTCTGCGTCCCTCTGAGGTCAGTAGATTGTCGACTGCAGCACCGGCCTCCTCAACGTCAGGCGATGCCTGCATTGTATTCCCGTTTCTCTCCTCTTGCCACATGCCTCTGCTGGGTGTGGATGCTGCTGGCCCTGGTCATGCTTGAGGCTGTGGGTGTTGGGCTGTGTGGGGGTCCCAGGGGCTGCTCTGAAGCTGGGAGAGTCCTGTTGTTCCTAGGAGTCGGCAGCTGCCTGGAACCTACCCTGCCCTGTGCCTCAGATGCGCCGGCCATCTCCCTGGGTCACTGGTGGATGGGCATGCATGGGCACACCCAGCTGCTCTCCCCAAGCTCCTCTGGCAGGTCCTCATGCTAGTGACTCTTCCCACCATCCAGGCTCACCTGTCTCTCCCTCAGGGGTCCTTCCTGGGTTCTTTTCTCTTTCCTGTTTGAGCGAGGCTGGTCTTCAAGGGACTGGGGAGCATCCCTTGACCCAAAGCCCACTGTCCATTCCCAGCCACGCTCTCCCTTAGGACAGCAGAGCTGCCTCTAGAGGCCAGGGCCCCTACGAACACCTCTGTTGCTGCTGCACAGCAGTGGCCTCTATGGATGCTGTCAGCTGATGGCTGGGGACACTGTGCGTGGAGAATGGACAGGTCAGGGGCTGGAGTCGGGAAGTCACTCAGGAGCTGCACGGCTATTAATGTGGTGGGCCTGGCAGGGCAGGGAGGGGCGTTTCTCAGAGGAGAGTGTGGACAATGGCTTAAAATCACACTGGTTCAGGGTGGGCCTTCCTGCCTGCGGCCCTGGCAGACATTAGGCGTTGGAAGCAACACATGTGGCTTGCTTAGCGTGTTGGGAGCTTTTCCCTGCTGCCTTCAGGGACCAGTGTCCTGCACATTGTGGGGCAGGTGAGGCTGAGAATGGTGCCCTCGGAGTCTCAGCCATGTCCCTGGCATTTGGGCTCCCCAGGTACCTCACCTGTCTCTCCCCACGAGTACGTGCCTTGCCGCCCATCCCGGTGTTTCCTCTGCAGCTGGGCACCCTGACACCACTCCACATCGCTGCTGCCCTTCCTGGGGAGGAGGGGGTACAGATCGTGGAGCTGCTGCTGCATGCCATCACCGACGTGGACGCTGAGGCATCTGACAAGGACGGCACTTACAAGTCCGGCAAGGTGTGTGCTTTGCGACCTGCGGTAGGGGTATGGGGCCTTGGCCAGGTGTGCCTGGATGGATTCACACACTATGCCTAGCCTGTGCTCGCCGAGCATGATGGGCCTCCTGGCTTGGGGCCCAGGCGGTGGAGATCCTGCATAGAAACAACCCATCCAGATGAGAGCCTTAGTCAGTGAGCTTGTTCTGGTATCAAGAGGCAAAAATGGTTGATTGGAATGAGTTAAGAACTTGATGCTTCAGGCAGTCCACAGAGCATGGGGGTCCCCATGAGGACCTTTTGCATGTAACTCCATCTCATGCCTTTCGGAAGGTTCATAATTGCAGACAGAGGCCAGTTCCATGTCCTCAGGGCCTCCTCCAAAGGCAGGCCAAAGCCAGCTTGTCCCACCAGGCCCTACCAAGCTGCAAAAGACCACCAGTCATGGACCATGAGGCCATGTCTTCCTGTACAAGGAGTTGAGCCCCTTGAGGTTAGGAGCTGTGAGGCTTTCCTTTTTGTGCTCCAGAGCCTTGTCCAGTTGCCGGCACACAGCAGAAGCTATCGAGCACACATACATGCTAGATGTGGGTGTGCGCAGCTCACTGCGTGGGGGACCCGGGAGGGGAGGGCACAGAATGGCTCTGACCCCTGTGGATGTTGGGGTATCTCAGGGACAGGCATGCAGGGGACAGGCTCGAAGAAAGTCAGGCATCTGCCTTCAGGAGGGTTTCGCAGGGTGAGACTCCAGACCCGCAGTCTGGGGAGGAAGCTCCCTTGCTCCGTTTGCCTTCCTGTGGGCACACGGCAGGTTCGTGGGCGCTGGTGGAGCCCTCCGTTTTACACAGCTGGATCTGCTGCCCTCAAGTCTGAAGCTCAGCAACGAGCCAGGCCCTCCCCAAGCCTACTACAGCATGGACACGCCCCTCCCCGAGGAGGGGGGCAGGACGGCTCTGCACGTGGCCTGCGAGCGGGAGGACGACAACAAGGTGAGGGCAGCCAGGGCCTGGCGGGGACACAGGGCTGCCCAGCAGTGGGGCCACCTTCCAGGGCCTTGTGCCCCCCGGAAGCACGTGTTCTCATGCTGAGTCTTAGGCAGAAGCCAGGGAGCATGGAAGGATGGGGAGGGAAGCAAGGCAAGGCGGGAGGACGGGATTTCACACTCACATGCACACACGCACGCATGTGCACAGAGTCTGGGTGGCGGCATTAAGTCTACTTCTTACCACAGGTCCTGGTCAGACATGTTTGGGAGCCTCTGGCCTGGCCTATGACCATCTGGTGCTGCCAACCCTCCTCTCTCACCCTCCTGTGTCTCTGACTCAGGACCCCACGGGTGGTCTCATCTTCCAGAGCCCTGGGTGGTGCCCTGCTGGCCCTGTGGCCGCTGCCTCCTGCCTGCCTTAGGGGTTAATTCCTACCAAGTTGGATGTGGGAATCACTCCGAGGATGCCCAGCGGCTGGGGTGGATGCGGGGAAACTGGGGCCAAGTCTGAGCTTTGCCGTGTGGCAGCAGGTGCAGCCCAAGCCAGTTGGCCACGGAGCACATGGCACGCCGTGTCTCAGTTTACCCACTTACAAATGAAATGAATGATCCTGGGCCTTCGGCAAGGTGGTAACTTGTGAGGTCCTCACATGAGCATGAGGATGAGTGTGCAGGAGTGCCGTGTGTGCAAGTGGGCATGTGGGTGACACTGGGAAGGGGATGGGCAGACAGGGAGGTGGGGGCACTGACAGGCCTGCCTGCTTCAGAACACCCCTGTCTGCTCAGAGCCTCCTTGGAGAGTGGGGAGAAGGAGCAGGTCTGTTGGGGGTCTTCTTGGGGCCAGGCGCTCTGCCCTGACTGGACCGCCTGAGGGGTTAGCAGGAACCCACGTTAGGAATGAACAGTGAGGCTTCGAGAAGGCAGCTGGTAGTGAACACAGGGCCTTCTGCTCGCACACTTGTGTCCTGATGACAGTTTGGGAAAGTTTTGGGGAAATAAAAGGAGACACTGAATGTGGCACTGTCATTGTGACAGACCAGCGGGTGGAACTTCAGTGCTGTGGGCATGACGGCTGCAGCAGTCCAGCCATCACATCTGTATCCCAGAAGGGAGGGGAAAGGGGGTCACTTTCCCAGGAGCCCCTCAGCAGACTTCTGCGGGTACCTCCTTGGCCTGGCCAGCAAGGCTGCGGGAAAGGGGAGTGTGCGTGGTGGTTGGGCCAGCCAGACATGGGGTCTGCCACATCTGAGGGCCACAGTCCCAGCAGAGCACTGGGAGAGGGAGCTGGGCCAGAGAAGAGTCCTTGCAGTGGGGGAGGAGAAGTCGCAGAGGTCAGGTCCTAGTGAACACTTCTGGGAGAAGACGAGGAAGAGAAGGGAGCAGCTGAGGGTTGCACAATGGGACATTCTGACAGGGGAGCAAGGATGGGAGAATGGAAAGGAAAGCAGAGGGGTTCCTGGGGAGGAGTCAGGGAGGCGGGAGGGCAGGGATGGGGGAGGAGGGCAGGAGGCAGGGAGGGAAAGGCTGGGGGAGGAAGGCAGAAGGTAGGGAGGCAGGGAGGGCAAGGATGGGGTGAGGAGGGCAGGGAGGCAGGGAGGGCAAGACCAGTGGGGAGAGCAGGGAGGCAGGGAGGGCATGGGTTGGGGAGGAGGGCAGGGAGGGAAAGGATGAGGGGAGGCGGGCAGGGAAGCAGGGGGGCAGGGAGGGCAAGAATGGGGAAGGAGAGCAGAGAGACAGGGGAAGGGAGGACAGGGACGGGAGAGGAGGGCAGGCAGAGAGGGCAGGGATAGGGGAAGAGTCAGGGAGGCGGGGAGGGCATGGATCGGGGAGGAGGGCAGGAGGCAGGGAGGGCATGGACGGGGCTGCCTTCCTGGTGCAGAGAGTGCTCCACCAGCCAAGGGTGGGGCTCTTTACACTCAGGCTGTCCTCTATGGTCACTGAGCCCTGGAGGAGGAGGTGCTTCTCCAGTCACACCTGCTGTATGCCAGGACCTGCCACATGGTCATGTGGTCCAGACTGTCCCTTGTCCTTTCAAACAAACTTTAAATCAACTTATGCATCAATATCCTCCTAGTTTTCATTTGGAAATGATGAATGCTTAGAAAATATCTTCTCCATTTGAAGCTCCATCCACCTCGCCATCCATTCACCTATCCGTCCATCCTTCCATCCACAGTTTTGAACACCTTGTGCCAGGCAAGGTAATGCTTGGGAGGAAGTGCCGTTGAGTGACTACATTGATTTCATGGCATTTAAATTAATAACTACTGTTAGGTGCTCCTTAGGGGTGGGGGTGCCTCTCTAACCTGTCATGCTTCTGCCTTTCTCCCCAACCAGTGTGCCAGGGACGTAGTCCAGCTCCTTCTATCCCACAGAGCAAATCCTAACCTGCTATGGAGTGGCCACTCCCCGCTCTCCCTGTCCATTGCCAGTGGGAATGACCTGGTGAGCATGTTCTGCACCCACAGACCTGAGCACCTATGTGTTTCCATCTCTAACGCCCACCCCATCGGTCATCGGGATTTGAAGTTGTTGGCCATTTGTCCATCCATCCATCCATCCATCCATCCATCCATCCATCCATCTATCTGCCCATCTGTCCATCCAACTACCCATCCACTCACTCTTCCACTCACCTGTCTACCCATCCACCCATTCTTCCATTCATCCATGCATCTATCCACCCAACTTCTCATCCACTTATCCATCTACTCACCTGTCCATCTACCCTCCACTCATCCATTCATCCATTATTCAACTTATTCATCATCTCATCCATCCATCTATACATCCGTCCTTTTAACCAATCACTCATGTATCAACCCAACTACCTATCCACTCATCCATCCACTCAACCATTCACCTATCCATTCATTCATCTATTTATCCATCCATCCATCCACCCACCCACCTACCTAGACATCATCATCCTTCATTCACCCAGATGGAAGGATCTACCGTCCACCCATTCATCCATTCATTCATCTATCATGTAACTGTTATTTACTGAGCATCTGCTTTGTACCTGACAGGCACCATTCTAAGCACTAGGAGTTGAATTAAAGTCTCTGCTCTCAAGGATTCTATATTATAGTTGGAGGAGCCAGACCATAAACTAGTATGTAACACAATTTCAGGAAATGACGAGTATTATGAAGAAAATAAAGCTTAGTGAGGGGATGGAGAATGATGGGAAGATAGGCTACATTAGCAGAGTGGCATGAAGTGCTACTCAGATGAGGTGACATTTCAGCAGAGGTCTGCAAAAGCTGAAGGCATTCATAGAATTTGTAAAAGCTGATGTAGAATGGGGCTTCCAGGTGCTTCTGCAGAGGCCAGCATCTCTGCTCCCTGCTTCCTTCTGTCCTGCACAGAGACATCCATTCAATAAGTCATGTGGGGTCCTAGCTCAGGGCTAGGTCCTGTTAGAGGCAAGGGTATGGAGGGAAGAGAGCTTTGTTCTGAGGGGCAGAAGCTTGTGGGAGCCAAACACTTAAGGCCCCGTGTCTGGCCACGGCTGTCCTTCCTCGGTAGAATCTGAGCTGGTGGCTGGGCACAGTAGGGAGAAGGGAGGTGTGCCTCATTCTGCATCTGGCCGAGTGGTCACAGTGACACTGGTGTTCCGGGGCAGAGGCAGACAGCTTGGGCACCAGGCAGATGTGCCCCTAACCCTGTGCTGGGGGCACTGGCCCCTGGGCTTGGCTCTGTCCAGGGCTGGAGAGCAAGGTGGGAGCTGGGACCACGCTGGAGAGTCCCCATTATGTCAGGGGACAGAGAAGGTGCTGGAACCGGCCCACCTGGGTGGAGTTCCAGCTTCTCCCTAACAGACCAGACATGGGACCCCTCCCCGCCCAGCGTCATCCTCTGTGGGACAGGCCAACAGCGGCACCCACCGTGGGAAGGATCTATGGGAAGGGCCAGCAGTGGCCTCGTGAAGCTCCTGCTTTCAGGGGTTAGTTCTGGAGTGGCCCAGCTCTGGGGACTTCCCCACTGTCAGGGGAGGTGACATGGTGGCCACTGATGAGCCTGTCTGTGTATGTCCAGGTTGTGAAGGAGCTCCTGACCCACGGAGCGGACCCCAACCTGCCCCTGACCAAAGGCTTGGGCAGCGCCCTGTGTATTGCCTGTGACCTGACCTATGAGCACCAGAGGAGCGTGGACGAAAGGCTGGCCCTGGTGAGGGTGGGGGGTGGCCCTGGTGAGGGGGGCGGGAGGTTGGGATGGCCCTGGGTGGTAGAGGTGTGAGGGTGGGTGACCTTGGTGAGGGGAACAGGAGGGTGGGTGGCCCTGGTGAGGGGGACGGGAGGGTGGGTGGTCCTGGGTGAGGGGAGGGAGGAGTGTGAGGTGGGCTGGCCCTGATCATGGGGAATAGGGGCTCTGGGAGTGGGGCCCTCATGGACTTCTCTGCCTGACTCTCATTCCTGACCGGCAGTGGATCATTTGTTCTGTGTTCTCCAAGCCTTGGTGGTCTAAATAGTGGAGAAAAGACAAAATGTTGTCTGCTTTTAATATTTTACAGGCCTTAAAAAATATGAAGTGACAGAAAGGTTCCCTGAACTTTGTCTCAGTGAAAACAGGATTCAGGATACACATAGGCCTCACCGTGGTCCAGCTGCACAATCCTGGCTTTCTCAATGGTCCACACAGCTGCTGGGTGGGGGTGTGCGGCGTTGTCCCTGGCCACAGGGAGCGGCTTTCTTGGGTGGAAGCTCACACTCGGGAAGTCCTGCCTGCGCTGGAGGCACTTTCTGTCCTGAGCCCTAGGCACGTCCCTCGAGTGTCCCTCCCACATGGCTCCGGGAACTCTCGGTGGCTTCGGCTCAGGCAGGGCCTCCCTCTGTGGCCTGCTGCCTGCTGCTCTCTGCCTGTGCCAGCCCGTCCTGCGCCTGGTGTGGGCACCACCCAGGAGCTTGCTTTCCTCAGTCCATCTTGATACGCACTTTGGTTCTTACCTGTCTGAGGGAGAAAGGGGGAAGCAGGAGAGGGGCGAGACTCAGGCGTCTGGAAGTGGGGGGCGAGACTCAGGCGTCTGGAAGCGGGGGCGAGACTCAGGCGTCTGGAAGAGGGGGCATCTGGAAGGTTGTTTGACGCCACAAAAGGGTAGCTTTACTTTAAAGAACTGAGATTCTTACCTTGAGATGCTGTTTCCAGATCTGATTTTAAGGCTCCTGTCCTTCTTCCTAAGACCCTGTTCCGTCTGGGATAGACTATGCAGGGACGCCGTGGTCAGCTTTCCGTAGGCGGCAGAGGATGGAATGAAACAGTGTGTGTGGATAGTCGGCACCATTTCTGGAGCTGGGGGCTGGGAGGGGCCCCGATGTGCTTTCTGAGCTTCATGGGGCCCAGGATTGATGACCAGTCTCTTGTTCATCTAAGTCTGAGTGAACAGGAAAAGGACACGAGACGGGAGAGGCAGCTCAGGGGGCAGCGTTGTTGTGTGTGGACGCTGATTGGAAGATGTGTCTTGAACATACGGAATAGCACTTTGTCTGGGGTTGGGGGCTCCCAGTGCCTCGTCCAGGATTAGGGGGCTCCCCAGCGCCTCGTCCGAGGTCAGGGGGCTCCGCAGCACCTCGTCTGGGGTTAGGGGGCTCCCAGCACTTTGTCAGGGGTTAGGGGGTCCCCAGTGCCCCCTATTTTTTATTTATAAAATATAAAAACATTTTTTATCATCTGTATGCCATCAGCCAGTTGTAAAAACACTAATATGGCAGAATTCGATTCGCTTTTGTTATCTCTATGTGGATTCTCTTACCTCTTCCTAGAGTGACTTCTATCAGGGTCCTGTAGTCTGTTTAACGGACTGAATTTCTGTTAGTTTAAGAGTTCTCCAACTGATCCCTTTGGATTTATCTCTTCCTTTCCAATTTTTTTTTTTTTTTAGACGGAGTTTCGCTCTTGTCGCCCAGGCTGGAGTGCAGAGGTGCGATCTCGGCTCACTGCAACCTCTGCCTCTCAGGTTCAAGCAATTCCCCTGCCTCAGCCTCCCAAGTAGCTGGGATTACAGGCGCCCGCCACCACGTCCAGCTAATTTTTGTATTTTTAGTAGAGATGGGGTTTCACCATGTTGGCCAGGCTGGTCTCTAACTCCTGACCTCAGGTGATCTGCCCGCTTTGGCCTCCCAAAGTGCTGGGATTACAGGCGTGAGCCACCGCGCCTGGCCCTTTCCAGTATTTTAAATCTGTTTCCCGTTTCCTCATTGCCTGAGTCGGGTTCCACCTGAGTGACAGCATCCCAGCGTGTCCCTGATGCCACGGGACCGTTTCTGCGGTGCCTTCTGTACATTTCTGGTAGCTGTCCTTTACCAAAGTAGGGAACACCCCTTCATTCGCAGCTTGCCATGAGGATTTATCAGGTTGGTTATGGAAAAAATCTTTTTTCATTTTTATTTTTCGTTTGCCAAAAAACATTACGGTAACATACCTATAACATGAAGTTTACCATCTTAACCACTGCAGGTGTGCGTGTCGTGGTAAGTCTGTTCTCATTGCTGTGCAGCCGTCATCACCCTCCCTTTCCAGAGCTGCTTCATCTTGCGAAACGAAGCCTCTGTCTCTATTCCATACTTGCTCTCATTCCCCACCCCCGGCCTCTGGCCATTCTACTTTCTGTCTGTGAATGTCAAACGCCCCACATACATGGAAGCACACAGTACTTGTTCTTTTTTTTTTTTTTTTTTTTTGGTTTTTTTTTTTTGAGACGGAGTCTCGCTCTGTCGCCCAGGCTGGAGTGCTGTGGCCGGATCTCAGCTCACTGCAAGCTCCGCCTCCCGGGTTCACGCCATTCTCCTGCCTCAGCCTCCCGAGTAGCTGGGACTACAGGCGCCCGCCACCTCGCCCGGAGTTTTTTGTATTTTTTAGTAGAGACAGGGTTTCACTGTGTTAGCCAGGATGGTCTCGATCTCCTGACCTCATGATCCACCCGTCTCGGCCTCCCAAAGTGCTGGGATTACAGGCTTGAGCCACCGTGCCCGGCCGACCTTTTTCTTTTTGTGACTGGCTTTCACTCAGCACCCTGTCCTGAAGGTTCATCTATGGGGTAGCTGGTGTCAGGATTTCCTTTCTTTTCAAGGCTGAGTGATACCCCCCAGGATGCATGGACGACATCTGGCTTCTCCGTTTCTCTGTTGATGGACATTTGGGCTGCTTCCACGTTTGAGCTGTTGTGAGGAATGCCGCTAGTGACACAAATGGACACGTTTCTCTTCAAGTGCCCACTTTCAGTTCTTCTGGGAACTTGCCTGGAAGTGGGATGGCTGGGTCCTATGGTATAATCATTCTATGTTTAATTTTTTTTTTTTTTTTTTTGAGTCGAAGTCTCACTCTGTTGCCCAGGCTGGAGTGCAGAGGCGTGATCTCAGCTCACTGCGAACTCCGCCTCTCAGGTCCAAGCAGTCCTCCTGCCTCATCCTCCTGAGTAGCTAGGATTACAGGTGTGTGCCACCACACCCAGCTAATTTTTATATTTTTAGTAGAGACGGGATTTCACCGTGTTGGTCAGGCTGATCTTTGAACTCCTGACCTGAAGTGATCCGCCCACCTCGGCCTCCCAAAGTGCTGAGATTACAGGCCTGAGCCACCGCACCCAGCCATATGTTCAATGTTTTGAAGAACCTCCGTACTGTTTCCACGGCAGCTGCACTGTTTCATGTTCTCACCAACAGTGGACAGGGTTCCAGTCACTCCAGACTATCACCAATACTTGCTATTTTCTGTTTTTTTGATAGTTGCCATCCTAATGGATGCGAGGTGGTATTTTGTTTGTTTTTTAAACAGAGTCTCACTCTGTCACCCAGGCAGGAGTGCAGTGATGTGATCTCGGCTCACTGCAGCCTCCACCTCCTGGGTTCAAGATTCTTGCTGGAATTACAGGCACCCACCACCACACCCAGCCAATTTTTGTATTTTTAGTAGAGATAGGGTTTTGCCATGTTGTCCAGACTGGTCTCAAACTCCTGGCCTTAAGCGATCCATCTGTCTTGGCCTCCCAAAGTGCTGGGATTACAGGCGGAAGTCACCCCCGCCAGCCTTCTCATTGTGGTTTTGATATGTATTTCCCTAATGATGAGTGATGTTGAACGTCTTTCATGTGCTTATTGGCCATTTATGTTTCTTATTTGGAGAAATGTCTATTCAACTTCTTCGACAATTTTTGAATCTTTATTATTATTGTTGAGTTTTGGGACATTTCTATATATTCTAGATGTTAATCCCTTATCGAGTATGTAATTCACAAATATTTTGATACACAAAAGTTTTTAATTTTCATGATGTCCAGCTTGTCTATTTTTTCTTTTGTTGCCTTTACCTTTGGTGTCATAGCCAAGAAGTCATTGCGAAATTCAATGTCATGAAGATTCTTCCTATGTTTTCTTCTAAGAGTTTTATAGTTTCAGCTAGGAACTTTCAGAAATAGTTTTCCGTAGCCTCCTGGAAAATCTGGTGCTTTTCTCTTATTATGCTTTCGTGGGATCTGAGTCCATGGAGTTCCCGAAACCCTAGGGGTACCCTGGCTTGTGGGGTGTACGTAAGCAATGGTGCTGCAGGACCTGAGTCCATGGAGTCCCTGAAACCCTAGGGGTGCCCTGGCTTGGGGGGTGTACGTAAACAATCGTGCTGCAGGACCCTTCTGCTAGAGGCCTGGGCTGCCTAGGTCCTGGTGACACCTCCATCTCCCACCACGTCTTGCTGGTCAGGCTGTGACAGAACCTTGTTTCAGGGGCTCTTCCTCTGGTGCTCCTTTGGCTGCTGCAGCAGACCACAGCCTGGGCGGCTTAAGCCACAGAAGTGAGCTGGCTGTGGTCCTGGAGGGTGGAGGCCTCGGAGGGTGTTGCAGGGTTGCGACCCTGGTGTAGACCTCGCCGTGGCTTCTGGGGGCTGGCTGGCCACCTTTGCCCTCCTCGGCTCATGGTGTTCTGCATGCATGTCTGTCTCTGCAGCCAAACGTCCCTTCTCAAATGACAATGGTCATACTGGACCACCTACCACCCTAAGGGTTACTTTGATCATCTGCAACGACCCTATGTCCAAATAAAGTCATGTTCACAGATCCCGGGGGTTAGGACTTCAACTTACCTTTTTAGGGGACCCAAGCGAACCCACCACACACGGCTTCGGCGTTTTCAGTCTTCTTCTCCTTTCTCCTTGGCTGCTGTTCTTGGCCTTGGCCCGTGGTGAGCACATGGGATGCACAGGCCTGAGGTGGAGCTCGTTGAGGGTCTGGGGTCACCAGGCCTCCTGAATATTCTCATACTAAACTTTCTAAAGATTGTCCCGTAAATAAACGCGTGAAGCTCGAGCTCCGGGCCCCCCTGACTCCCCAGGCCCCGGCACGTGGATGGCTGCAGCACCAGGCATGGGCTCCACATTTGTCTTTGAACGGCCAAGGAAGGGGCTGCCAGAACATAGGTTAGCAGTGTTTGGAGAAAAACCACTGCAGAAAGGAGCTTTCATCAGCCCGGGGACCTTTAGAAAGTCCCTCCCTCACTGTCTTTTCTGTGGCCTCCGGGGGACAGAATCCTGTTCTCACGAACATTTCTAGCTCCTCTCACTGGACAGGCTCTGCTTAGATGTGGGGCCCCAAATTTCCTTAATTTGAGAGCAGAGCAAGTCCGACTGAAGGATCCGTGTTCAAGCCCACTGATCCTGACAGACTCCTCAGAGGCACACGCCGGGCCGGTCAGCTTCAGGCCGCCCCTTCCTCTTCCCGGGAAGGTCCCAGCCTTCCCTCCCGGTGCTGTTCAGCAGGGGCTGTGGTCTCAGAGGCGGAGCCTCCTGGGCAGGGCTGGTTCCTGCAGGGTGCTGATGCTGCTGGGGTCTGAAGAGGCATGGAGGACAGAGCCACTGGAGAGGCGGGCTCCGGGGATGGAGGGGCGAGGTTATCCAGCTGCAGCCGAGGGCATGCCTGGGGAGCCTCAGCAGGGGAACGGGGTCATTGTGCCATGGAGGTGGGGCAGAGTGCCTGGGGGGTGAAGTGGAGGCAGTAATGTCAAAGTTCAGATGGGGGTGCTTGGGAGGTGAGGGTCTGGAGGGGAGCATTGGCAAGTGAATGGTTTGGCACAGGGACAGCAAAGTGTATCTCAGTTCTCACCGTGGATGAGGCGGTCACCCCGGGCAGCCAGGGCCAGGGTTGGAAGATATTCCTGGTGAGAGACAGGCAGGTCAGCAGATGGGGAGGGGCTGTGGCGGGAGAGGAAGGGATGAGTACATGGGACCTGGGTTGAGAAAGCCCCAGGCCAAAGCACACACTGCACACCCTGCTGGGGCTGGTTGTCCCCAGTGACTCCCAGGGGTTGGGGTCAGTGTGGAGGGGTCTGTGGAGACATGGGAGCTGTGGGGATGCAGAAGTTCCCAGGAATGATGTTTGGCCAGAGGGGAGAAGGTGTCCAGCAGGGTGAGACGAAGGGGTGAATCCCAGCTGCTGCTGAGTGGCCAGTCCTGGGAGCCCAGGGGCGGGGAGGGGTAGGGTAGCTGCATCACTACCCAGGCAGAGCTGTCCAGAGAAGCTTCCCAGTGGCAGGACTGAGTGAGGCCTGGGTGCCCTACAAAGACAACACTTGGGGGATGGGGGTGGGCTGGCAAGTCCCCCAGCAACATTGGGCAGGGAAGGGTCGATCCATGGTCCACCCACCTGTCCATCACCAAGCACCTGTGGCAGCCCTCACTCACCCACCATCTGCCCACCTTTTCTGAAAAAGATTTGATGAGGTGGGGGGGGCCTCGGAGGCATGTCCAGCAGGGAACTGACTCTTGGGGTTTTTGGCATGTTATCATGGCTTCAGCAGGAAGAGTCAAGAAGACGGGGGTCTCTTGAATGGATCTGGGTGGCTCTATCCTCGGGAGCAGTGGAAAACAGCCGCCTCCTGTGCCTGGCGTATGCCTTGCCTGGCCTCACTTGGCCTTGAGGAATCTGTGTATAAACTCCACCCGTGCCCCCATGCGCCAGGGAGTCAGCCGTTCAGGCCAGGCTGGCCACTGGTGTTGGTGGCATTGGCTGCTCCGCCATCCCGCGCTGTGCCTGGTGCCATGGCCAGGGCATTGTTCTCGTGTGTTGCTGAGAAAGCAGGGTTGCTGTGTTTGTGTGGAATGTGTGTTATGCATGTCACAGAGAGTGGGGATCTCGCTGGGGGAGTTGTGTTTCACCGAATCATGGCCCTGCTTGCACTTGGCTAGCAAGGCCCCCATGCACACAGCAGTGAGCCTTCCACAGGTGATGGCCTGGTTTTCATTCACTCACACGGGCTGCCCTGAGCCTGCCAGGCCCGCTGATAGAACTTGCCTCCTCCCATGTCAGGAGGGGCAGCCTCTTTAGATGATCCTTGCTTTGGATGGGATTGTGGTACCTGTTGAGCCAGAGACCATTGCTGTCGTATATTTGCCACAAGTCAGGCACACATGCACACAGGCTCATGCATTCACACATTTGTCAGGCATGCTTGCACTCAGACATACATGTGTGCCCTTACTCATGCATGCACACACACTAGCCCCCACTCATGCACAGAACTCACACATGCAGGCGCACACACCCACACTGCACACCTACATGCATGCAGGCACACTCCTACCCACCTATGAACAGGCATGCGCATATCCACACACACTCACCCACTAGCCCCACACATGCACACACACACATCCACACACCTACCTACATGCAGGCACACTCACACCCACCCAGCCATGAACACACATACACATACCCATGCATGCCCACGCACTGGCCCCCCGCCCCGCACACACCAAATACAAGCATACACGTGCACTTGCTGTCTTGTTGAGCACCCCATGGCGTGTTGGGATCTGATGAAGAACAAGAGCTGCCTGGTGTCTGCCCTCATGTCACTGACAGCCTGAGGGGAGCAGGACTGTAACGGACTTCACAGACTCCATTGATTCTATGGTGCTGGGAGTCGGGCGCCAGGGAGGGCTCCCCGAGGCGTGGCCTAGCCTTGACTTCACTGTGACATCATTAGGGCGAGGCTCAGCCCCAACTCCTTGTCCATGAGGTCAGCCCCGTCTCCGTCTGCCTCTCTCCGTTTGTCTCCTGGGCACTGCTGCACACCTGCAAGGGTGGCCTCGGTGGGGACTGCAGGTGACCGTGGCCCTTCTCAGGCGGTCTTCACTGCTCCCAGTAGCCAGGGTGTCCTTGCGCGTCTGACCTGGTTCTGTTCTCCACAGATTGACCGACTCATCGATCACGGGGCCGACATCCTGAAGCCCGTGACGCTCAGACAGGGGGAAAAGGTGGCGGTGGGCACAGCTGTGGACTATGGCTATTTCAGATTCTTCCAGGTAGGTGGTGAGCCTCCTGTGAGGAAGGAGGGGGAGTGTGGGTCATGTGCAGGACCCCCGGCTGGGGCATTAGCTCCTCTGGGGCAAAGCTGGGCTCAAGGTTCCTAGTGCCTCCCCCAGAGCAGCCCCTTGGCTGCAGAGGCAACCCCCCGAAGTGCCGAGCTCATGCCAAGTGCAGCTGTGTGTGCTCCCAGCTCTGTGTGTCTGTCAGGGTTCGTCCTCAGTTATACATCATAAGAGCCGAGAGGGGCCCTCGATCACCCAGAGTCACCCCCGCAGTGAGGGGCGAGCCCGGGACCCTGTGGTGACACTGGCGCCGTGTGCAGGACCGGAAGATTGCCCACTGCCCCTTCCACACGCTGCTGCCGGCGGAGCGCGAGACGTTCCTGGCACGGAAACGGCTCCTGGAGTACATGGGTTTGCAGCTACGGCGGGCTGTCTGTGCCAAGGAGAGCCAGTGGGACCCCACGTGGCTGTACCTGTGCAAGAGAGGTGGGCAGTGGGCCCTGTTCTGCTCTGCTCCACGGGGCAGGGTTCCGGCCTCGTGCCTCGGGCTGTGATCCCTGGAGATCTGGACCCCCTGGGGCTCTGGAGGAGCCTTCCTGGGGCTGGGCTGGTCAGCTTGGCTCGGCCCAGCCCCTTTGTGTCACGTCCTCCAAGGAGCTCATACAGAAGAGATTGAGAAGAGGGGTCTGGACTGGGGAGGTTCCTCTGGGAAGCGGAGTTGGTGGCCGAGGGCCAGGGCCCAGGTCAGAGGGGCCCCCTGCCCAGGAGAGGATTAGGCACCGCTGTGGGAGCCCTGTCGGGAGTTCCAGTCCACCCAGCACGGGGCATGTGGGTCCGAGGCCTGGGGTGGTGCTTCCCTGCATGGTCACACCCCTATAGGGTGCGTCCTGCACACCCCCACGTGTCCCCAGCTCCCCACATGCACCCACCCCACAAATATACCATCCATCTACTGATGTCTACTCCCCCATGTACCCACACCCACATACCCACCCCCACCCACCTGGTCACCCCTACTCCCACATACTCACTCCCCACCCCCACATCCCCACCCCCACATACTCACCCCACCCACCTAGTCAGCCCCACCCCCACGTCCCCACCCACCTACTCACCCCCACCCCCACATACCCGCTCATGTTCCCACCCCTACGTTTACCTACTTACGTCTACCTCGCACACACAGACCCACTTACACATCTATACACACTGACACCCACACCCATCCTCTCCTCACATAAAAACCTGTCACGTGTTAACATGTGTGCGCACACACACAGGAACCTGCTGATTCCACCCTCCACACTAAGTCCTCAGTCCCACACAGTCCCCCACTGAGCAACCCCCCAGATGCCTTCCCAGCACACAGTGCTCCGCCCCACACACTTCCGCATGCTGTTAGTCCGTTTGCATTGCTGTAAAGGAACATCTGAGACCAGGTAATTAGAGAAGAGGTTTAATAAGCTTGTGGTTCTGCAGGCTGCACAGGAAGTATGGTACCAGCATCTGCTTCTGGGGAGACCTCAGGGAGCTTCCACTCCCCTTGGAGGGTGAAGGGAAGCCTGTCCATCACGTGGCAAGAGAGGGAGGGAGAGAGAGAAGGTGGGGGTGTCCTAGGCTCTTCAAAACCCCCAGCTGTCATGTAAACTAACTGAGAACTCACTCATCCCCAAGGGAATGGCACTAAGCTACTCATGAGGGATCCATCCCCACGATCCAGTCACCTCCTACCAGACCCCACCTCCCACAGGGGGCCCGCAGTTCAACATGAGATTTGGAGGGGACACATCCAAACCACATCGCATGCTTATGTCCCCACAAATACTTAACAGCCACATGCCCACTCACACACTTGCACACTCCCCAGCATGTATGCCCTGAAATCCCTCAGCCCCACCCCCACAGCTATCTGCACACCTACCCACACACATGCCTGTCCCCACCCACACAGCACACTGCTTCCCCACATCCCACCCAACCACGGTCTGCATACATCTACACACACATGGACACCCCACACCCACCTCCCAAACTCACTTATGTACTGTCACACATGTGCCCACCCTCGCATAAACCCCCACCCCACTCTAACACCTGCCCCATCCAACCCCGGCCCTCACTTACATACCAGGTCATCCACTGCCACCCATGTCTCACACATGCACACAGCCACAAGCCACTCCCATAATATGTGCCCCCCCACACACACATACTAACCTCCCCTCGACAGAAACATAAATTTCCCCCCACCTGGCTCGCCCACCAGTACACATGGATGCACCTTTGCTGAGGCTACTTCATGGCCAGGGTGCCGGCAGGGTGAGGCCTCCATTTGTGTAGAGCCCCACTTGGGGGATATAGGCTCTGCCTTGGGCAAGACACCCCTGAGGATACTGGGGTTCTAATCAGGCTTGTACTGGCCCATGGGCGGAGGACCAGGCAGGGAGAGGCAAGTTGAGAAGACCCACGTCTACTGCCTCCTCATGTCTATCAGAGATTAGGTCCTAAAATGGGGGTGTCACTTATGGAGAAGTATCCCATTGTCCTGACCCCCAGCTCCAGAGCCTTGGCTCAGCGATTCTGCCCGGGGAGAGACACACCATAAAACAGTGAGCTTCACACCTGGCATCACAAAGAAACCAACTTCATTTTTAACAGAGCAAAGACAACTTCAAGCCTAATGTTGAGAGGCAATTGGAAGGAGATTGGTAAATTCACTGGAGATAGACTAAAGTATAGAATGGCTAATTGCTAGAGAAAACTAAGAAAAGAGAGAGACAGGAGAAGCCTTCCTGTGGTCGTAACAAGTCTCACACACCACAAGGACTGATCTAAAGAGCACACAGCATATAAAGAAACATTTATTCAATAAAATCTTTTAAAACTCAGTAAGAACAGAGAATGTCTGTGATATTAAACCAAGATCTACCTTCCTTTTCACCCTTCCAGCTCAGGGAGGCAGAAATTCTATTCCAGACGGGTACAGCCAAGAACACCAGTAGAAAGGGGCATGGATGTCAGTAATTCTCATCCTGCCCCCAGCCACCTGTTGCTGAGGCTAAGTTCCTATTGCTCCAGACTTAGTGTGTCTCCAAGATGGCCAGGAGGTGGAGGCTCCATTCTTATCTGCAGCTTCCAAAATGGCCAAGAGGTGGTGCAGTAAGAATTACTGGAGGTGATGATGGGCAATATCAAGAAGATTGGTAAACTCACTGGAAATACAGGTGAAACTATCATCTGCCAGCAATTATATACTATAGTTTGTATTACCTATAAAGTATGCCAGAGAAAAATGAGGAAAGATAGCTGGGAAGAGCCCTCCTGTGGTCAGAACAAATCTTGAATACTGACCTTGGGAACTATCCCTTCAATGAGCTCTGATCTAATTGGATCAGCCTAGGAAGCCATTTATACCCAGGGCACTGTTGCAAATTATGAACAGTCAGCCAGCAATTATCAGAACTAAACAGGAGCGTATGGTCATGGAAGGAGACAGTCAAAGAGATCCTTGTCCAAACCACTGTCACCTGAGGGTCACTGTGGACAAACCCAAGGCTGCCTTCCATGAGAAGGAACATCAGAAGCTTTATACTGCAGGAGAGAAATGGATTTCACACAATTAACCCAGCTGGTCATTAACCAAATAAGCAAACAGATAGTAATATCCAGCCCCGAGGGAGAAGAATGAAGGAAAATGAACAGGTCCTCAGAGAAAAATGGGAGACCAAGAAGAGAGGAAAAAAAGAATGATGAGAAATGAAGAGATCATCAGGGGAAAGTGGACACCATCAAGCACACCAATATGTATATAGAGTACCGGAAGCGGAGGTGAGAGAGAAAGGAGCAGGAAAAATGTTTGGAGAAATGATGGATAAAAACTTTCTAAATGTATTTAAAAATAATTTATGTATCTAGGAAGCTTAATGGAGTTTCAAGTAGGATAAAATGGAGATTCGTAAAACAGACATATCAGAATTAAAATACTGAAAGCCAAAGACAAGGAGAAAACATTGAAAGCAGCAAGAGAAAAATAACTCAAAACTTACAAGGGAATCCCAGTAAGATTAACAGCTAGCCAGCATCTCATTAGAAGAAATTGGTTGGGGGATGGTCAAGATGGCTGATAAGCATTTCATGCCCACTTTCTCCACTTAGTAGAACCAGAGCAGTGTATAGACAGTCACACTCCAAGTACTTTATCCAAGAGAGAATGCTGGAACTCAACAGAAAAGTGACAGGGGACACCAAAAGTTGGGGAGGAGGAGGAGAGGCAGCCTCTCTGACTGGGTTCGGCTGGGCACCAGGAGTGAATTCCGAGTGTAGGGAAGAGGTGAGTAGTAGATTTCCGGTGGCCCACTTCCTCACCATGGAATCATGCAATCCTGGCAGGACAATCCCTTGACCCTCCCAACACTTGAAGCTAATGTAGGAAGCTTCCAGGAGACTGTGGGATGGAAGAGCTCCAGGAAGGAAGGTTGCACTGGGTTCCACACCCTTTCTGAGACCTAAGTGGCCTCAGCAAGTCACCATTTTCAAAACTAGCCTCTGGAAAACTACATTCTGTCCTGGGACCCACGGGCCCTGGGACTATGGAGTATTATGGAAACTCAAGTTGTCACTGCTGGGACGGGAGCAAGCCAGGTATGCTCCCACAGTAGGGGCTAGGAACTGAGCAAGGCCTGGGTGGCAGTGTCTGGTGCTGGGAAGTGAGCACTTCTGTGATCTGAGACAGGGATGTAAGTGGGCTGGAGTTCAGTGGCATAATCTCGGCCCACTGTAACCTCTGCCACCTCTGTTCAAGTGTTTCTCCTGCCTCAGCCTCCTGAGTAGCTGGGATTACAGGCACGCAGCACCATGCCTGGCTATTTTTTTGTATTTTTAATAGAGATGGGGTTTCACCATGTTGGTCAGGCTGGTCTTATATTCCTGACCTGATGATCTGCCTGCCTCGGCCTCCCAAAGTGTTGGGATTACAGGCGTGAGCCACCACGCCTGGCCACCAAAAAGAAATTTTTGAGATCCCAGATAAAGAATTTGAAATACTGATTTTTAGGCCAGGTGCGGTGGCTCATGCCTGTAATTCCAACACTGGGAGGCCGAGGCAGGCAGATCTTTGAGGTCGGGAGTTCCAGACCAGCCTGGCCAACATGGTGAAACTTTGTCTCTACTAAAGTACAAAAATTAGCTGGATGTGGTGGTGCATGCCTGTAATCCCAGTCACTCGTGGGGCCGAGGCAGGAGAAATGATGAACCTGGGAGGCAGAGGCTGCAGTGAGCCGAGATCGTGCTACTGTACACCAGTCTGGGCAGCAGAGCGAGACTCTGTCTCAAAAAAAAACTAAAAACAAAAAATGAAATAATTGATTTTAAAGGATCTAAAATAGAAGAGAATACTGAACAAACAATACAAATAAATTAGAAAAACAAGGATATCAATGAGAAATTTATCAGAGACATTTAAAAAAATAACCAAACAGAAATTCTGG